CTGGCGTGTCCAAGGGATGCAACTCTGCACAGCGAATCGTGGCGCTTTAGACGAATGAATATATTTCAAAGATAAAAACCAGTTGTTAAATTATAATCAAACAGTGACAAGCGACTTTCTTTATTCTCAGATAACTGCAGCAATCTAGACTTGCCAAATACTATAGACTTGTATGAGCTTTACTGGATATATTTGTTTCAGGGTCTGTATGACAGACTATCACTAGAGCAAAGACCAAGTCTAGTAACATTCAGTTTGGTTGCGTAAGCTCAGTTGATTATAATCCTCATGACAACAATACATCCTAATGCCTGCCGTAAAAGGTGACTAATGGGATCGGGTGGTCAGGCTCGCTGACTTGGTTTAAGCATGTCATCGTATACCAATGGTGCTCATAATCTCAATCACTGGATTGTCTGGTCCAGACTCGATTATTTACAGACCGCCGTCATATAGCTGGAATATTGCTGAGTGCGGTGTTAAACAACAAAGAAAACCGAATAAAAATGACTAACATGTCGAAACTGTGTTTGTATTTTAATAAAAATATTTATCACTGCACTCGGCAAATTCCAGCTATATGACAGCAGTCTGTAAATAATCAAGTCTGGACCGGACAATCCAGTGATTGATGTCATGAGCATCGATCCACGTCAGCGTGCCTGACCACCTGATCCATTAAGGCGCCTCTCATGACCCGGAACCCCCGCAAGGCCTTAAATGTTTAAAAAGCTGTGCAATGATTTAATCGCATTGAAATAATTCGGTTATAGGACTTGAATTATGTGAGAATAATTTGTCGAAAGATGTGACATTAATTAACAGGGATGAGTTTGTTGATCAGCCTTCACATCCGACATACGGTAGACAGATGAACGGACGTCAGTGAAAGATGAAGATGTGTACAGTGCTGGAGAAATGGGTGATTGTTTCTGACATCCGACATGGAGAGCGGATCGTTCTCATTGTATTTGATTCAGTGGCGGCTCAGGGAAGTCATTGATTTTCGTGAGACAATCATCTATTTTCTACAGACCTAACAGTTGGTTGCTGGCAGCAGACTGGTGTCCATTCTCGGTAGGCTTCAGGCAGAGCTGAGTGAGTGCAAGCGGAGTGGATGAGGCAATGGGGATGTGATTTATCTGTGAGTGAGTGAGTGAGTGAGTGAGTGAGTGAGTGAGTGAGTGAGTGAGTGAGTGAGTGAGTGACAATGAGATTGTTTGAGTGAGTGAGTGGGTGAGTGAGTGAGCGAGAGTGTGGATGGATGAGTGAGAGTGAGTGAGTGTGTGTGAGTGAAAATGAGAATGAGAGGGTGAGTGAGTATAGAGTGTGGGTGAGTGGGTGAGTGAGTGAGAATGAGAGTGTGGGTGAGTGAGTGAGAATGATATTGTTTGAGTGAGTGAGTGATTGAGTGAGTGATTGAGATTGTTTGGGTGAGAGTGTGAGTGAGTGAGTATAGAATGTCGGTGAGTGAGTGAGTGAGCGAGAGTGTGAGCGAGTGAGTGAGAGAGAGAATGTGAATGAGTTAGAATGAGTGAGAGTGAGTGAGTGAGAATGAGAGTGTGTTTGGGTGAGTGAGTGAGTGAGAATGAGAGTGTTTGGGCGAGTGAGTGAGTGAGTGTCAGGTGTTGGATTAACCAAGTGATGCACACTGCCATGTTAAACGTGGCCATGTCCCTCCCACTCAAGTACACAGGCTGAAAGCATCCCTCTGCCAAGTGATACAGCCCACCAGCAACACAGTGACCCAGGAATCACTGTGTCCACATCCACGACATCAGGCTCTTCTGAACAAACGAGACTGTCACCACCCAGTACAAACACTGTGTGTCACATTATAAGATTTCAATACCTATATTTATACATCAGTGTCAACACAAATGTCATCTCCTCTCTAACAGTTTTATTTCAATCGACACTGCTCAGATACCAAAGTCGAGGAGATTAGAAGGAGTGAGTATTCCAGTTACATCACGGCGTGTCAGCTTAATGTCGGTGGAAAGCCCGAAGTGATGCAGGTCTTAGATGTTTACCACTTTGGTGAAACCAACGAGCACAGGTATGGTGCTGACGAACCTAGAAACATAATCGGGGCGAACCGGGATTGGAGTGAGTGAGTAAGATGGGTTTAACGCCGCTTTTAACAGTATTCCAGTTATATCACGGTGTGTCAGCTTAATGTGGGAGGAAAACCCGAAGTGATGCAGGTCTTAGATGTTTACCACTTTGGTGAAACCAACAAGCATGGGTATGGTGCTGACAAACCTAGAAACATAATCAGGGCGAACCGGGATTCTACCATGAATTTGGAATTTACTCAATTCTGATTAGTCAATCAGAGGCTATTAAATCACAATAAACCCCCTCTGATTGAAACAGCTGGTTTGACGGCCGCTTCACCGCGGAAGCTAATATTCGTAGAATGGTACTATTTTCAGTCATTGTCGGTTACAGGTTACAAAATGCACAGATGCGGTTAATACAATATACAAAGGATGTGTGGCAATACATTTTGTGCAGAAAAACACGACAGAAATCAACAAAGGGAATGTATATACGTTTTGGAGACAACAGAGAGCTTGGAATTTTGGCGCTTTTCTATATATGACTGTGACATCATATTTTTTGCGTCACAATGAGCGGCATGACGTCATAATGGTGACGTGCGATGTAGAGCGAAAGCCTTGCAAAGCTTGCTTTGTTTTCTTTACGGATGCCCACCTCATGTTTGCTTACCAAGTTGCCGTGCTTATATGCTTTCAATGCCTGTCATATGTTCGAGCGAAGTATCACGGTGTAAACAAACTGCTTGAGGATATACAGCAACATATTTTTTTTTCGGTGATTCCGTAATTCAGATCGATAACGCACTCAAAACACTGAACTCAACCCATGACGCTTCACTAAGTATATTTGCTAACAACAAAGAGTTCGCATTTTATTTAGTCATGGTAGAATGGAGATAAACATACTGTGTTTTCAATGTAGAGCTAGGTTACCTGTAGATTTAACCCCGCTAAATTGAATTTGGAACCGAACGCGCATGCTCAAAGGACGCAACTCGGCAGATACTGCGGCGCCACCCTCGCACCCCCCTAGAACAGACAGACTGAATCTACGCCAGCAAAATGTAGTCTTTTTCAAAGGAGACTATGACAGGATTCCAGGGTTGGTTGGTTGTTTTGTTTTTTAACACCGCACTCAGCAATATTCCAGCTACCGTATTCGACGTAATAAGCGCCCAGGGCGCTCTCAAAATTAGAAACATGAGGCTCTTATTAGAATATTATTTCGGTCGAAAAAACAGTGTTGAAAAATAAATTTCGTGGTTTATGCTGACAGCCTGAAATGTTTATATACGACATATATATTTTTCAAGAATTTAATTGCCTATAATTAAGGGTGCATATGACACACGAGTGCGTATTATACGCGAATAAATAAGTCTTGTGTACATTGATCAATCCGAAGGGGTGCTAATTGGGATTGTTCACTAGCCAGTATATTAGCAAATATCGCCGTGGGCGCTTATAAGAGCGGGGCGCTTAGTACGTCGAATACGGTATATGACGACGGACTGTAAATAATCAAATCTGGACCAGACAGTCCCGTGATTGATGTCATGAGCATCGATCCACACAATTGGGATCGATGACATGCATCAACCAAGTCAGCGAGCCTGACCACCCGATCCCGTTCGTCGCCTTTTACGACAAGCATAGTTGCCTTTTACAGCAAGCATCGGTTGCTGAAGACCTATTCTACCCCGGATGTTCACGGGTCAGAGGATTCCAGGGGTTTACCTTGATTTACAAAAGTGGGGTCAAGGGGACCCCCAATGATTAAATTTAAGTGAGTGAGTATGGTTTTACGCTGATTTTGGCAATATTCCAGCAATATCAGGGCGGGGGACACCACAAAAGGGCTTCACACATTGTACCATGTGGGGAATGTAACCCGGGTTTCGGCGTGACGAGCGAACGCTTTAACCACCAGACTACCCCACCGCCCCTGATTAATTTTAAGGGTCCTTGCAGGCAACATGAGGGTCCTGTATTCATACAGTAAAGTAATGAAATGGTGTAGGGACTGTACATCATGGTACATGCTGCACATTTGGATAATTACTTAGAGCTTGGAATGAATCAATGGTAATGTGGACAGTGGTCATCATGGTCATGATTGATGGGGGAAACGACAGACACCCATAACTGCTCTTGCTACGCTGGAGATACAATGAATATTACTGTGCTTGCTCGGCAAGCAGTAGATTTGTTTTTGGCATCAATTCTCTACATTTGTGCATACTGGGATTCTGAGGAGCATCACCTCTCCGTGCTGACAACCACTGGCCTGGCCCGAATGGATTATTTACAGGCCTGGATATAACTTGAATATTTGCTGACTGTTGCATAAAACGACACTCAGGCCTGGATATAACTTGAATATTTGCTGACTGTTGCATAAAACGACACTCACTCACTATAAGCCTTAGAAAAAATATATCAGACAACCTAGTTTCTATTATTCTAACATCAAAATTACCCAATTACCTAACTATATAAAGCTGCACTCAGCAATATTCCAGGTTTATGTATAGGACAGGAGCTAGAAAATAACCAAGCCTGGACCAGAAAAACCAGTGATTGGTTTCAATAGCTAACATCTACGCAATTTTGAGGGATGGATGACACACAATCAATCACCTAGCCCGACCACCCAGTCCATTTAATCGTCTGTTACGAGCATAGCTTTCTGAGGACCTATATTATTACCTGGAACCCCCATCAACATGATCAAACCTCATATTTGAATATTCACCATGTTTGTTTACATGTTGTTAATTCCAAAGAATCATCATATTTACTATACTAACAAAAATATTCTGAATAAAATCACATTGGTTTTTAAAAAAAAAAATTCATACGTGTTGCATTTTCCATGTTAAAAAATGGCATTCTTATTTTCATAGTGTGACCTCGGAACCTTTGTCATTGCAGAGAGAATACCATGTCAACACTGACATCTACGAAACAATGTGATCTGCACCAGCCAAGATGATCGTAAGTTGGTGAACAAAGTACTCCTGTGTTATGTGAAGCATGTGTCTGAGGCAGCTCTCACACTGAAGGTCTACATGGTGAATCACTGCATAATAACTGTGCTCCACACTCTCTCAATGCATGTCATTCTGCCTCAGTGTAGCCCATGAATGTCAGGGTATTTTAACTATTTAGGTCAAATAAATAATAGTTAAATAAACATGACAATATCAACCCAACAAGGTCCGTTTACTTTGCTATAGAGACCTGTGAAGATCCGGGGTAAAACAGGTCTTCAGCATTACCCATGCGACTATGCTTGTCGTAAGCGGCGACTAACGGGATCGGGTGGTCAGGCTCGCTGACTTGGTTGATGCATGTCATCGTGTCACAATAGCGTAGATTGATGCTCATGATGTCAATCACTGGATTGTCTGGTCCAGATTCGATTATTTACGGACCGGCGCTACATACCTGGAATATTGCTGAGTGCTGTGTTAAACAATAAACAAACAACTTTGCTATAGATCTAAGCTAAATAAATAAATATCAAATCACCCGATCTACTGCGCATGAAAAACTTATATTATCACGATTATGATACCTATCGAGGAAAGAATGAACCTCAACATGCTCAAATTACTGATAAACCAGTAATGTGGCCCACCCTTACCAGTGAGGATCTGGGTTATAATTGGTTTTCAGTAACCCATGCTTGTCTTGAGAGGTGACTAACTTGATTGGTTGGACACTGGTCATACTAGCTGACTTGGTTGATGCATGTCATCATATTCAGATTGTGTAGATTGATGCTCATGATATCAATCACTGGATTGTCTGGTCTCGACTTTATTAGCTAGACTGCCGTCATATAGCTGAGTGCTGAGACATAACATGCTTAATATTAAGAAAACGATGAAAACATTATCATCAGGACATTTTTTTACAATTTCTCTAAATAGTTCTTGGTAAGTATACGTAACTTATTACTTAAATGTTTATTCGATTTCCAACATGGGTACAATGTGTGAAGCTTGTTTCCTGTGTCCCCCGCCCTGATATTGCTGGAATATTGCTAAAAGCGGCATAAAACCTCACTCACTCACTCACTTCAATGGATATACTGTTGCAATGAAGCTATTAACACCCAACACAAAATATGGCCACAATCTCAAACTTTGTCAATAATCCCTTAATCCAGGGACGTCTAATGAGGCATTGTGTTTAACTAAGGATTCTAATTGTCCAGTTCTGCTGTCTTTTGTCACTATACATGGGCCAACTAAACATTACCTTGTTAACAAGTTGGATGTTGTTTTAATTCAGTGCATAATTAACACTATTATAGGTCTATATAAAAAATTCAAGGCCATATGAATAAATATCACCCACAGCTTTGCTGTCATACAGACTCTGAAACAAATATATCGGATACTGCCTATGCAAGTCTATGATGTTTGGCAAGTCTAGATTACAGCAGTATCTGAAATTGAAGAAAGTCCTTCTGCTCTTTTTTATTATATTTCATAACTATAATTTAACAACTTTTTTCTGTAAAATATGTTCATTTCAGAGACTAGATGTAAGTCTACCTGGTTGATATCACCAACATATTTGCTAATAGCACACAGTCTTGCTTATAGCACACTCAACTTTGCTTATAGCACCAACAGACATGCTAATAGCACACAGTCTTGCTTATAGCACACTCAACCTTGTTGATAGCACCAACAGACATGCTAATAGCACACAGTCTTGCTAATAGCACACTCAACCTTGTTGATAGCACCAACAGACATGCTAATAGCACCCACACTAGTGCTAATAGCACCCACATGCCAACACAATATCACCACTGACAGGTACCACAATGTTCTAAAGTCACATCAAAGTATCTTTAATCACTGTTATCACCTATTATAATTATTATCACCCTCTAGTCCAGATACCACAATCAAATACCCATCAAGCGATGTAACAATGTGTAATATTACAACAATGCTTTGGGCTATCACAGGTGATATACACATGATATGTCTCGCCCAAGGCTAATGCTGAAGTATCAACACCAACTTCAGCTGTTGAAATCAACATCCTTGTCGATGATTGATGCAATAATGTCGTTGATTTCTTTGGTCAAATTGATTACCAGGAAGAGGATCTTCCTCTCTCTCCCTCCACTAAAGATATCACTCTTCAGGGCATAGGGCAATTGATTCTGTTAGCTGCACCCTCAAGGGACTGAGTATCCCTGTACTACAAATCCAAAACAAAACATTCATTCAAATTGCCTAAATTATTCTGACACTTTAATGTCCCTTGGGCTGTTTGATGAATCTTAGTCTGAGAAAGAATTCATAGCAATTAGAGTTTGCACTTTTTTTTGTCTTTCAGGTTTCCCTGATATTTTTAAACATACATATAGGCGAATTTACAAATATTACAAAAAAGCCAATTTTCAGTCTCATAGAGAACATTTAAAAAAGAAAATTACAACATTTTCACTAAGTAATAATCTTTCAGGCTTTTACAGTACACAGAAATGTGCATCCAGTACGTACAAACGAAAGAATGGACCCAGAAGAGATTATATTGCATCCCAAGGGACACACAATAATAACATTCATCATGTTCATTGGATGAAAACCTCGACAAGAAGTATAAAGGTCTTGTAATTAAAGTAATTATCAAATATTACAGTACACTACACCATTTCATTACTTTACAGGACCCTCATTTTTCTTGTAAGGACCCTTGAAAATATTTGTTGTGGGTTGGATCAATCTGATTAAAATCAGATCTTAGCTCTCGCTATTGCTAAACAAAGATATGAAGACATCCCATTGCGGGTCACGTCAGAACGACCTTTCATCCGACTAATCAAAGTGTCGCTTACCAGATCATGAAAGTGACAGTCGGAGTGTATTTTCTAATCATGCAACCTCTAAAAGTTAACACAGAGCATTCTGAATAACAATTACGGCCCCTACCACCGATTCCGTCAAAATTATCGCATGTCTCTTGCTTCCGTTGGATAAACATTTGAACGGAGGAGGCGTTGCACAGTACCATATATTAGACATTCCCGAATGTTTGTTTGTTCAGTTTCCAAAATTTTAATCGAGAACTGTGTCAACATATTTTTCCATTGTAGTCTGAAATGGAAGTCGCCAGGTTGAAACAAGTTGAGAAAGCTGCCTTCTTATTGGCTGATGTCGATTTCTTGTTAGTTATTTCAGTGGTCGGGCAAAGTTCGTGAACAATGGTAAAAGGTCATTCTGACATGACACATAATAGGATGTCCTCAGATCTTTGCTTAGCGACAGCGAGAACATTTTTTTGATTTGTTGTTTTACGCCACACTCAACAATATTCCAGCTATATGATGGCGGTCTGTAATTAATCGAGTCTGGACCAGAAAATCCAGTGATTTACATCATGAACATCAATCCACGCAATTGGGATCGATCACATGCATCAACCAAGCCTGACCACCCGATCCTGTTAGTCGCCTTTTACGACAAGCATAGTCGCCTTTTACAGCAAGCATGGGTCCCTGAAGACTTATTCTATCCCGGATCTTCATGGGTCAGCGAGAACTTAGATCTGATTTTAATGACATTGTGGGTTGGATTGACACAGAGTTTTGTAAGGCATGATAAAACCCTGCTCTTTCATCATTCAGATTACTCGAAACATAAGTGTGATTACGAAATATAACACTAAGCCAATAAAACAAATCCAATGAACACACAGCAATGTGACCACAAGTCAACAATTCCTTATCTGAATGATGATAATCTTGACTCAGACTTTACATGCTTTAACCATGATCTGATCCTTGCTCTAGCACAACGAACACGTCTACTGTAGTAATTACCCATTCAGAGCTCATCTCTTCTTTAATCTGGGTTCAGCTATTCAAGTCTTCAGCTGACATTTCCTGCAGTATACACACTGCATAACACCACCAGCATTTGCTTGAGCCATAGAATTTAAGGCATTTTCAAGGAAATGAACACCCAAAGGCTTTAAGTAAGGCCTAATGACAAATGTGCTCTGAAAATGTTGAAATTACAAATTTTGATCCACTCAACTTTTCAATTTAAGGCAATGGTCATAAGGAAGAGAATTAATGGACGTCACCTTCTTCATAATCATCATCATGATCATATAAATAAATAAATAAATCAACATCCAAAAATTCTCTTTGTTATGTGTTTCACTTCTAAACATGCTAAATGCCATTTGAAACCTTGCAATGATCATACTTCTCAAGGTTAAAATTAAGACCCATATGTGCTTATATACAGATCAATCTGACATCATACCTCCATTTCATTGTCAGAATCGTGAGCATGGCTTCATTTACATCCAAATACACTGGCAAAAGTCCCACAAAGGCAGGGATAATTCTAGAGTGGGGCCTTGTGCTTTTAGCCCCTAAATTTGAAAAAAGGACCACATTTTCACATACATTGGGGCATTCTAACATAGTGCTGTATGGGCGTACCCATACGGAATATAAGAATCTTTCACATAAAGGGCCCATGTCAGAAAATTCCGAGAGTGAACCCTACAAAGGTTTTCAACACTATTTATTGAGCAAGATACAGACGAATCTTTGGCTACAAAATCCCATCATGCAGTATTAGATACAAGATAACTGGGTAGTTACCGAACAGCAAGGTTAACATGGCTGAAGCCTTTTCACCATAGGTTATCATGTAATTGATAGTGTTACTGATGCTATAAACTGATCCAATAAACTTGATATCACGATCCGATAAATATGCAAATCAGGTCACATAGGAAGTACTTGTAATATGCTGCATTAGGGTCATGAAAAGGACATCTTGACCATGTTGACCAATGCCTAATTTCAGACACTGAATGATTTTGTATTGTTTTTTTATTCATGAACAGTAGTGACATTGGGAAGACATTTGCTGTTACTTAGTCTCAGACTAGTCAGCAGCATTTAAAATTCACGTTAGTCTGTTTGCCCAAACCTGCAAGATTGTGAGTGTGTTTTGTTTAACGCCACTTGTAACAGTATTCCTACAATAGCATGACAGAGACACCAGAAATGGGCTTCACCCATTGTACCCATGTGGCGAATCAAACCCAGGTTTTTGGTGTGACGAGCAAATGCTTCAACCACTAGGCTACTGCCCCTACAGATTTGTGCTGAGGACGATTTAAAATAGCGACCTTGACCCCACCTCCGCAATACAAGCTGGCAGCTGACTGCGGTGTGGGGTTAATCAGATACTGCTATAGAGTACATGCTATGGAAGATAATCAATACAAAATCAGCATCTCTTTGTCTTCCTCTTACATAACGTACTCAGCATCCTCATTGAGGAGTCACACAGACAGGCATGTTAACAGATATAAGTATTCAAAATATGTCTCATTTTCAGCTTCCATGAGTGCAGTTCAGTTGCATCTGGAGTGAACCATTTTATACCCACATTGACTGTTACTTGTCATGCATTGTTTTTGGTAGCTTTTCCCATCACCTTCAAACCCTTGAAGATCCCGGGTAGAATAGGTCTTCAGCAACCCATTCTTGCTGTAAAAGGTGACTATGCTTGTCATAAAAGGTGACTAACGGGATCGGGTGGTCAGACTCGATGACTTGGTTGATGCATGTCATCGATCCCAATTGCGTGGATCGATGCTCATGATGTCAATCACTGGATTGTCTGGTCCAGACTCGATTATTTACAGAGCGCCGTCATATAGCTGGAATATTGCTGAGTGTGGCGTTAAACAACAAACAAACAAACCATCACCTTCAACATGCACTTTTCATTCTTGTTAACAGTCTTTGGGGGGTTGGGGGTTGGGAGTTGGGGGTGATAGGGGTCATTGGTGGGGGATGGGGGGTCATGGGTGTGGGGTTTGGGTGGTCTCCAAGACATTACAGTGTCCCCGTTGCCTTGTGGACTGGCAGATACCCCTAATTTTTGTCAGTCTCAACTTTCAACAAATAAAAAAAAGTTTGAAAATAACCTGGCTTTAATTCTTTCAACATCACGTCCAATGCAATGGCGTCATCTCTGGTAACTTAGCTAGATCTACATGTCATTCACAGTCACACAAAGTTCAGTCACAATTTTTTCTCTTCTTTTTTTTAATATTTCAAGAATACATGGACTAAGCCACTACAAATATACATTAACCCCGAAGCAAAGCAAAACGTTATTTCCTTGCACTAAAATAGACAAACGGAAACCCTGATGGTAACAGACAGCTGACTTCATTCGAAAAACATACATATATGAATATCGCCAATGTTTTGTTTAACATGTTTAACAACAAAGATTTATAAGGTACTTTATTTGTCGATCCACAGGGACTGGCAGTCACATGAATTATCGGTCCAAGCCTTAGTTTAACAGTAAGAACCTGGTAAATACTGGTGAAGGGAATACTGCATGAACTCAGGAGGTCTAGACTAGTAACACTTGATCATCATGAATTTCAGTCCTATCATTTGACAGGTATGACAAGCTCATGAGAGGGGGCCTTCAATGATAGATTGAAGAACGTTTGACATTGAAACTCTGAGTCTTTAGTGTATATTCTACCACAACAGGAACATACATTATATAACAGGCAGCCTTCATATTTCATTAGTTTTAATGATTCATTGGTTGGTTTGTTTGTTGTCTAACGACGCGTATTTTTTTATTACACTACCCTCAGCAATATTCCAGCTATATGACAGCGGTCTGTCAGACAATCTTGTGATTCTTATTGTGAACAACGATCGGATCCACGTCGATCCACGAAATGTCAGCCACAATTTTTATAATTCAGTCACACTTTGTTGCATCCCCAAAGGCTCCCACTGTAAATATTTTCTGTCTATTCTCAAATTGTTTGCATAATGGACACAAAATTTATGTCCAGTAAAACCCTGCATTAACCCTTCTGTTGTCCTTTCTCCAAGGTCCAAGCAGGATAACACCGTTAACAGTGACAGGTGAGTGCTTTGTTTGTTGAAGGGTTAAACTTAAAGGCCGGACCATCATGGCCGCCAGCTGTTGAAGGTCATTAAGTGCAGAAAGTCACACTTCCTGTCTGTATCAGTAGGAACAATAACATCAACACTGGATATGTTTTTAAGGACAATTTGGATATTAATTCTTAAATTAAATTCTACAAACAGCTTCATGTTTTATGATCACACATGATTAGCAAGTGAATGCAATCGATGTCATGTTCCAAAATTCACATGGGTCTGCAATAGGGCTGTTACGATTCACTCGCGTATTCGGTAAATCGAACCGTATCCATTCATGAATTGAATTTGTTATTCGTGGCCACTAATATCGAATATTTTTGAATATGCAAGCATCTGCATATTTATATACCCTGTACCAAAAAATATCATAAGAACATATAATATGCATAGATTTCTTCAAACACAACACTCTTATAATATTTAGTTTGACAGTATTGTGGTCACTGGTCAATGTAGCATTTGAGCAGATACTAGTTCCTGGATAAGTGCAGAATATAAATGCATAATATATTAATCATTAACAAACCATGTCAAATAATTTACGTTGTCAATGTTTCACTGAATATAACAAATAATACAAATAATATTTCAGCTGCTACATCAGACTTGTTATTGTATTCGTGAATTAATATTCGTATTCTTTACCCTATATTCGTGATACGAATCGTATTCGCCTCATAGTGTATTCATTGCAGCCCTAGTCTGCAAGCTAGTCGACATGCAGACCCAGTAACAAACAGTCCAGTTTAGTAGTAAGTAGGCAAGTTTCTCTGGACTCCATTATATTATATTTTAATTAGATAAATTAACAACTATTATTTTCTGTAAAATATTACATTTCAGAGCCTGGGTGTCAGTCTATCCATGAGCCTGTGGTAACGAAATTGTGACGAGGACATGTAAGAATCTAATGATGGTAGTTGCCATTGACTAGTAGCATTTGAGGTCTATAATTCTAGTCAGTTCTCAATGCTTCAATTTTGCTACAAATTGGAATTTAATAGCTGGCAGGAAATGTAAACAAAGTAACCAGTTTTGAAATAAGTTTCCACTAGTCCTCTCGACCAGTCTTCAGCAACCCATGCTTGTCATAAGAGACGACAAAGGGGATCAGGTGGTCAGGCTCGCTGACTTGATTGATGCATGTCATCGTATCCCAAACGCAAAGATCAATGCTCATGATGTCAATCACAGGATTATCTGGTCCACACTTACTTATTTTCAGATCACCTTCATGTAGATTGAATACGACTGAGTGGGGTGTTAAACAACAAACAAACAATACCAACTAATATTTTTTACAATAATTTCTACAATCACCATGATTACAAATCCCACAATGAAACTTTCAAAATTGTAAGGCTCAGGACTATTCATTTAATTGAATTCCCTACTTATCATGTTCTATTACGTTCTATATAATTTTGTACATCCTGGTCGTGGGATATCAGCTATTTATTTCCTTACATATGTCAAACTCAAATCCTAGGGATAGGAAATAACAAGATTCATCTCATTACACCCAAATTAAGCTTGAAATTCAAGGCATCCTTGTTATTACCCATATATAATAAATGTTAAAGATTTAGGTGTCCCAAGATTCAAATACCATTGCACATCTCAAGGACACTTAATTTCGAACAGGGCATTTCCAAACAGAGACAATATCAAGGGCAGATCCAGCAATTTATACATGTTATAAAAGGTAGGGGTCCAAAATATCAAAATCCTGTCTCATGATTTTACTGCCTACAACACAACATACTACATTTGGTTTTAAAAAAAGTGTGTGTGTGTGTGTGTGTGTGTGTGTGTGTGTGTGTGTGTGTGTGTGTGTGTGTGTGTGGTCTGAATATAGTTATCAATACGGTGTCTATATATGTGTTCAATGAAAAAAACTTTGAATGTCCTTACACCTTACATATCAAAATGAATAATGATGTATTGTTTTGTATTAATACATGGGATTTAATATATGTTACCAATATTGTTATGTACCAGGTTGCACATCGATATGAGGATAAATAATTCACTCAACTATCTGAACCCTTTTTACTCATATCAATCACATCAAACATTTGTTTACTTTCCACCAGCGTGGATGTTATCAATGCCCTCTTGTTCATCATGTTAACTATTGTTTTGATCACTTTTTTTTCTAAATGAAAGAATCAACTACATATATACTATAGGTAAGCCTTCAAATTCTGAATGAAAAACAAGGATCGTCTGTTCCGACCCTTACACAACACTGAAACAGATCCGAGCCAAATCTGCCCCTCCCATTTCGCAGATAAACATTCCCCATATTGATCAGCTCAGTGTTGTAAGTAAATAAATTACTCGTTGGTGCATTTCCATAGGTACTCATGCTCCAAGCTTTTCATAAATGATCAGATGGCAACAAATTTACTTTCGGATCATAGCAACAACAAAAAGATTCATGAAGTCGTAATCAATGAACAATTATTTTGGTATGTGTCATTGTAATCATGGTAATACGAAATTCACATTATTGATTTGACATTATGATCATTGAAATCGCCATATTTGTCCGAGCTGTCCGACATCGAAATCGTACGATCTTTGTCAGTTACTTTCACAGGCTGTCAAATCAGTCAATGTAGATTTTAGCAGGTGCCCGCCTGTCGACTTGACCAAACAGGTGTCCATAATTACTTCAACTCCTCTTACCTTGCAGTAAAGCTCCGCTGCAGACATTGTGAAGTATTTCTCAACGTAATCCTATCGAAATCTCCCTTAGATCATCGTCATCAAGCAATCTGCCATACAATAATACCGAAATATTATCACTGCTATAAGACATAGGGGTTTGAGGTGGCAGCCATCTTAAATCTTGAGATCTTCATTTCCGCCCACCTTCCGACTTTCAAAGGGAGGTAATTTGTCATTACTGTGACTCATCGAGGTGACTTTGTTGGGCGGGGACACGCGTTCGAATCTACAATGAGCAATGAAATAATTTTAGCTGCATTCAAATGTGTTATCTGACAAACAGGGAAATAAATACAAGCTAAACATACAATTCGAAACGATTGCGATGTTACAAATTACACTTCCATCAGATTTGTAAATAGCTTTGACGGATTATTGAAATTTAACCCAAAACAAGTAACCAGCTTCTAACAACTACTTAATATAATAATACGAATTAAATTAGACTTTTTTCTGTACATTAACTTTCTCTATGATGGACTTTTCATGTTCTTGTGAAAAAATGGTCCAAATTCGTTTTAAAAGGTACAAATACTTCGATTACCCACATAGGTACAATGTGTGAAGTCCATTTTTTGGTGTCCCCCGCCGTGATATTGCTGGAATATTGCTAAACGCGGCGTAAAACCATACTCACTCACTTGCTCCTATTGTTTGAGATATGACATGACAACTTATCTCCTCATTGCGGTTGTATTAACCAATACCGTATGCAACGTAATAAGCGCCCAGGGCGCTTTCAAAATAAGAAATAGGGGGCTCTTATTAGAATATAATTTTTGTGAAAGAGTTGAAAGATCGTAAATTTCGTGTTTTATGCTTACAGCCTGATATGATACAAATGAAAATTCTGTGCGTATTATACATTCCAGATATATTTTTCCAGAATTTAATTGCCCGTAAATAAGGGTACACATAACACACGAGTGCGTATTATACACGAATAAATAAGTCTTGTGTACATTGATCAATCGGAAGGGTGCTAATTGGGATTGTTCACTAGCCAATATATTAGCGAATATCGCCGTGGGCGCTTATTGGAGTGGGGCGCTTATTACGTCGAATACGGTAGTAAGATATAAATTTTGCATGTTAATGTTTTGTATTGTCCTGGAGAGTATTTTTTACATACAAATGGTTTGCTTGTTTACTGATCCTGTTTCATGTACATTCTGGGAATAAAAATATGTTTACAACAAAACAACTTCTTAGTTCTGAATGTGCAGCGTGTGTATACACGTATGTGTCATCATGCACAAGATTATACTGTGTCGGTCAAAAATATATTCAATTTTGATATTGTTTTGCAAATAGCATCGCGCAGCAGGTATGACAACTTACATGCAAGAAACGTATTAAAATTCTTCCTGTGGGCAAACCGACCAAATTAAACAACTGATGAAACACGCGAGACTCACAAAATCATTTCTATAGATACACTGTCTGTAATAGATGCACTATGGCACGACCCTGGGGTATTTATACACTCATGCTATACTTATCTTTTCTTTATGTCCAGCGGCTACCTACTTAAAGTGGAGGGGTTGCATAAGGTACTCCTCAAATTCCGCCCATCATTGACTTTTTTTAACTACGCCAGATAACCCCCTACAACCCTTTACATTTGACGCATTGAAAGCATGCAACTTCGTAACGCGGGAAAGAAGATATTTTCACTTACCACAATTTCAAGACAAACGTAGATTGCGATGCGACTCGTTCGTTTGTCGCCATATTGCCAAACGAAAACTGTATATGTTAAGGCTCTGTCCATCACGTATATATCTAACGTCCTTGTCAATGTACGCGGTAAGGAGCTTGAATTGAGAGAGAGAGAGAGAGAGAGAGAGAGAGAGAGAGAGAGAGAGAGAGAGAGTGGTGTGCTAATAAATGTGGTAATGAAAATTTAAGTTACATTTGCCTCCTAATTCCTGTGTTTCGATTATGCGCCCTGCACGAAGTTGGCTCCATCCATCGGAAACGCTGTTGAAATCATCACGAAGATTCGATTCTATTCACAGGGCTTCATTAAAGCACTTCGTTGACAAAATTGAGTTGATGGTCGAAAAAAGAAAGCGCGAATATATACTCAAAGGCAAATGTTATTATGATCAATGTTCTTTTGTTTGAGTAAACTTTGATTTCTCTTTGAGTTAGACGCGAATAGCTGCAATATTGCTGATGCGACTTAAAACAATATTTACTCACTCACTCTCTTTTTGTGTACTTGTGTTTACTGAAGATGGACACCATAAACAAGGGCTTTACACAAATACAGAAGAGACCACAAAAGTATTCGTACGTTTATGTTTTAAAATTATGAATAAAACTTGAGCATAAACGCTATATTTGCTTTTTACTTTTTATCATGGACACCATAAACAAGGGTTTTACAAAAATACAGAAGAGACCACAAAAGTATTCGTACATTAATGTTTTAAAATTATGAATAAAACTTGAGCATAAGCGCTACACTTACTTTTTACGATTAAAATCAAACCATTTGTTTTATTGTAAATAAAACCCCATAAAGTAACGATGTCATTCCCATTGACTGATGATTATAATGGGTTAGCTGAACCATGAAAACAAATTTGGCTTTCATCCTGCAGTTTGTTTGTTTATTTGTTGTCGCACCTAGCAATATTCCAGCTATACGACGGTGGCCTGTACATAATTGAGTCTGGACCAGACAATCAAGTGATGAGTATTGTGAGCAACGATCCACTCTGCCGGGGCGTATGAGGAGACGCCATCAACTAAGTCACCGAGACTGACCCCCCGACCCATTTAGTCACCCCTTTCTACCAACATAAGTTGCTGGGGACCTATTCTAACCCGTACCACCGATTGCACCCTGCAGGCGGTAAAGATCGACGTCTGAGTGATTCAGGGCTGAATGTGGTACTTGTTGTTACAAGTGAGGATTTTACCCATTTGTCTACCCACGGTCCAGGAGAGGTAGTAGTAGTGAGTGAGTTGTGTTTTACGCCGCTATTAACACTATTCCAGTTATATCACGGCGTGTCAGCTTAATGTGGGAGGAAAGCCCGAAGTGATGCAGGTCTCAGACGTTTACCACTTCGGTGAAACCCACGAGCGCGGGCATTGTGTTGATGTCCGATATCAAACGCAACAGACCGATTCCATGGGCTAGTGTTCTAGTGGTAGAGCGGAAGGTCGGGGTTCGATCCTCGGCCGCGTCATACCAAAATACGTAAAAAAAATATACTTGTTGTTACCCTGTCTGGCGCTCGACATTGAGTGGCTACTTATAAAAGGACTGATCGGCTCGAATAATGTGTCTGAGTGGGGGTATTCATGTGGCACGGTATCTCAGTGGGCTAGCACTATGAATCGGCATTAGTCCGTACTAGCACAAGCAGCCACACATACTCACACACACACAAACACGCACGCACACACACACACACGCACACGACCACACACACACAGACACACGCACGCACGCACGCACGCACGCATGCACGTCGCGAGATAAGTGCAATAATCTTGGACGCGACGTTAAACCCCATATCATCTCGACGTTAAACCCCATTTCACCTCACCCCAAACGCAACACTAGTGAGATGTCAGCCTGAAATGGAGGGAAGATCTTTGTCACACAAGCACTGGTAATCAAAGATCCTAACAGCGTAAAATGAAAAGAAATCCACAACCAACGGATCCTGCAATAACTCTACGGGCACTAACATCACCGAGGTTCCTGCCTGATTGTGAAAGGGACGTCGATAAACGGTCGGGAGATATGTGGATTTTACGTGTGATTCGCTAGGTTTACTGAGGCTATCCAGGCATCATCTTTGGCCATCTTCCCGGGGCAAGGGAGTTAACTGTTCCGACGTTTCAGAGATTCAGGTGTTGGTGAAAGTAATTTGCTACGGTGTTTGAGTGTGTGAATCATGTGTATGCATTATTCCAGCAATATCACGGTGGGTGTCTTGGATCTCACACAGTGTACCCATGGAGGGAGTCGAACTCGGATCCGTGACGAGGGAACGCTTTAACCCTC